TACTACAGCTTGTCCTCCAGTCCTCTAAGTTCTGCATTTCTGCAATAATTTAAAGAATTTTTTTATAGAACAGAGAGGAAAGACCACCATCTATTACTCAAGAGTATTTTTGTAATTAAAGGCTTACTATGCACAAGGTTATTGTCAAAATATCCTAACTAGAAGCAGGAAGCAAACCGAAGGGCAATTGATGGGTGTATTACTAGGGTAATTCTAAGTAACACAGTTCCAGTGGATGCACCATAAAATTTAATGTAATTCTGAAAATTAACTTGATTCCCTGTTAAGTTTCTAAACCTAAAGTTGATACTTAGGTCCTGAATGAGGTCCAAGTCTCTAGCTTTTTTCTGAGAAGGGACACAAGTGCAGGACCACCATCCTCCCCTACTGAGGTGGGGAAGGGAAGTACATTACAGAAATATTCTCTCCCCCTTTTACAACCTCAAACTTCCTACAGTATGTAATCAAGCAGAGTTCAAGTCCTTTCAAATGGGATCATTTTGGGCACGGGTGACAGGGAAGGGAGGGCAGCAGTGGAGGGACACCCCTTATTATCCAACAGCAAAAGCAGTTTTTGACTCTTTCTCCTACTTCTTCCCCACCTCCATTTCCCAGTTTCTCATTTATGGCAGCTACTTCGCAGTCATAGCTGGAATTTTCCTCATCAGAAGCACATACACCATTATCTCCATCAAATGCAGAAACACCAGTGGGGCTGGTGAAAGCACTGGTCATTAACAACAGAGACAAGAAGAATGGTTGCAAGCAACGGCGCAGAAGTCTCCATCATCTGAACGACAAATCAGGAGACACATATAATGTTCCATCAAGCAAACCTGGTGCAGGTTGAAGCAGGCTGCTAAGGAGCCTACAGCACAGAGAGCTTTGGCAGCAGCAATGCATTCTGCCCATTTCCTTCATCCTTAGTTTAACTCAACGTTACTGGTCAACACCCAAAATTCAATTCATGCTCAGCAAACAAACAAGCACAGGCAGATGCCTGAACTTCACACCAGAACTCACAGAACACAACCTCTGGAACTTCACTCCTGAGTATTTCAATTAAAGGCAATTTAGCCACTGACACGAGACCTTCAGACACTCCTAGGGAATATAAAGCAGCAGGTGCCGCTGGCAGGAAGATACCTGTTGGAAAGCTTGCCACAGAGAAAACACTTTTTCAACCAGAAGTTGTGGTGTAAGATTTTCAAAACAAGTTAACAAAGCAATAAATTTTTTGTACCCAAAAGATGCTACTCAAATGTTGGATTACTACCATGTGATTTAGTACAGCAATACTGTCATTTTCCCAGTGGTCAAATGCAGGCATTTCAGATTCCACACAGACAATGCACTCCTCAGAAATGTGAAGTCACAGGACTGTAAGGAAAAACACGTCATTATATCCAGATCCACTGCTACTGATGCTCTGACAGTTTTACTGGGAGTTTGCTGAAGGGGCACGAACACAACACCCTGACCTTCCCTTTGAGTGTCAGCCCTGATAAGCACAGGCAATAATTATATCCAACAACTGCCATGACCCACACACACTTATCTTTGGAAGCAAAGAGCCTCCTAAACTAACTTATTTTTAAACCATGGGGAGACACTTCAGTTGCTACACAAGGCAGTCTTAAATATCATGACTTAAAGTTTAAATATAACTAAAGCTAATTAGGGAATGTTCTTCCAACTGTCCACTTTCTTGTCAACTCTACCAGACAGCAGGAAATTCCATTGCATTCCTTTACCACATCTCAGAGATTCATCAACTCAGAATTAACCGACCCACTACATCTCACAAAAAAAGGGAAAATCATCAATTCCCTTCAGTACAGTTTTGAAAAGCTACTTGAGCTCATCTTCACGTCCCAGAAAGTTCTCCTTTCAGGAGAGCAGAACACTTGCATCATACAGCTTCCTTTCAAGAATTCCAACTCAATTTAGTGCTTTTTCAAATTAATTTTTTGCTTCAGCACTTGTTTCATCGTGGTATTTGGATGTTTGCAACCACTAAATACCTCTCACCTGCAGTACCTGGACATCACATCTGCCTTACAGAACAAGATGTACCCACTCCTACAACTGCAGCACCTTCTTGCACACGTAACCGCTGACATTTAGGACTGAAGGACTAATCTAAGAGGTCTTCATATAAATTTCTGTATAAAGTTATTAAGTGAAGTCCTTTGATGCTAAAGCATTAAAATACGGCTTTTTAGCAACTATTCATGAGCAACTGTGTGAACAACTGCAGAGACTTCCAAGATTATAAGTTTATAATCACAGGTGAAGAATTCATTTAGTAAATACAGCTATTTTTAAAACCCAATAAACAAAACAGCTACAGTGTCAGTTGAAACAACACAAGACCTTCAGCTGCTTGTCCAGAGTTTGGAAATTGTAAAATTAGCGAACACAGACTAAACAGATGTGGTTGTGTACAGCAGAGGTTGCCAACCTTTTATCTGCATTTAATCTAGTTATGAAAAATACAGTATTCCACTACTCCTGCAGCACATTTTAGAACTACATGCCTTGCACACTTAAATCAATTTCAGTGTCAGCAAGAATCAGCTTCATTTGGATCAGGACAATTTTAACAGATGCTGATCTCATCAGCCCTTGCCCAAAGCCTCATTTCTATCAACAGAGGTGAAGCAGGCACAGGATTGTTCCCCTCTCACAACACTGTTTGTCTTGTTTTCAGGACATTTGGTTGATTTGGTCCAGTCCCCTGCACTGGGCATATTCAGGTGTTCCACAAGCCCTGCTTAACCCTTGCAGTTCCCCACTCCACTGCACTTACCTGTTCCTATCCCAAAACAGCCAAGGTTGACAACAGGGAAGAACTGCAGCTATTTATAATGTGATAAAACACAGTGCTGAGAGCAAGGACATCACTAACACCCTGGAAACACTCAATTGCTGGGGATTTGTTGAGTGAATTTCTCAGAGAATCTTAGGAATTTAACTGTAAAACATACTCCCCCCCCCCCCAGCAGTCTTCATCACAAGGGAAAAACAGACCTCAAGTCTATTTTAACTTAAAATATGACAACAGGACAAACCCAGACATTAAGGTAAAAAAAATCTACTACAGGCAGCTTGTTGTATGAGCTGCCTGTCCCATGCTTGGGATCTCCAAAGTTTTTTTTTTAAAAAAAAAAAAAAAAAAAAAAAAAAAAAAAATTCCTGCCCACATAGGCAGGCAACAGAAGTCAAAAGTATTACCTTAAATGATTTTACAAGCAGAAGTCGAGCCTTTCAGATGTCCTACAAATAAACAGATCTAACATTCAGGCAGTCAATTACAAGTGAAATGTCTTACCTTCAAGAATTTTCATGGTTATCTTAAATGGGTTTACATAACCTTTCCCCCCCCCCAAAAAAAAAAAAAAATCATCTCACCTTATTTATTCCTGTGACACTGAAAGTTGTAAAATTTTTTCTCCAGCTGGTCCAAAACCTTTAGGCTTGCAGTTTATGTATTTGTGATATATTATTTGCTTACTTCCAAGTGTTGCATTAGAAGTTAAGCCAAATTATTTCTGTGTTTAAAACACTATCACCAACTACTCTGATACAATTACGTTTTTCTTGAACCTTATTACTATTACAGACTAGACAAGCCAGACAATTTCCACCCCCCTCTACAAATTCCATTCTAGTAAGGTGGGGAAAAAAAAACAACAACCACATTTCTTGAGTGACTGCCCTCTGCATTGCTTCAATGTCCCTCATTACAGATATTTTATCCAAATAACCCAAGCTCATCTAACACTCTCCTGTTTGATAGATCACTTCACTTGAGCTAGAACAGGCATGTGAAAATTTTAAGGTTAACTCATGCTCTGGATACCTCATCTGTGTACACAGGATGACTGGCAGGATGCACATTTTCACCCAGGAAATGTTGCTGCACAGAAATAATGCTACACAGTTGTTTTTTTTCTAATATTTATTTTTTTTTCACCTGCAAACTGTAGCAAAACATGATCAGCTTTATTATGCAGACAGGTATCCCTCTAACATTAGAGATTTAGGCATGTATAAATAGAAGAGCTCTTAGGAAAGGAAAACGTTTTGAGAAATGAACAAACCTTCAATTTAACTTCATGACTTCCAATACCAACGGTTAAAATGATGCAGCT